TCTCCATCTCCGTCTCCATCTCCTTCTCTGTCCTCCATCTCCTTCTCCGTCTCCTTCTCTGTCTCCTTCTCCATCTCCTTCTCCTTCTCCCTCTCTTTCTCTTTCTCCTTCTCCATCTCCATCATCTCTTCCTTCTCCGTCTCCTTCTCTGTCTCCTTCTCCGTCTCCTTCTCTTTCTCCATCTCCATCTCTTTCTCCGTCTCCTTCTCTGTCTCCTCCTCCATCTCCTTCTCTTTTTCTTTATCCATCTCTGTCTTCTTCTCTGTCTCCTTCTCCTTCTCCATCTCCTTCTCTTTCTCCATCTCCATCTCCTTCACCATCTCTTGCTTCTCTGTCTCCTTCTCTTTCTCCATCTCTTTCTCCTTCTCTTTCTCTGTCTCCTCCTCTGTCTCCTTCTCCTTTTCTGTCTCCATCTCCATCTCCTTCTCTTTCTCCATCTCCTTCTCCTCTGTCTCCATCTCCTTCACTGTCTCCTTCTCTCTGTCTCCTTCTCCTCTGTCTCTGTCTCCTTCTCTTTCTGTCTCCTTCTCTTTCGCCATCTCCTTCTCCTCCACCTCCTTCTTCTCCATCTCCTTCTCTGTCTCCTTCTCCATCTCCTTCTCCTTCAGAGACAAACAGGCGTGTCTGCCTCGCTAGACCTACATCATCTCACCGTGAGTCATTCTGTACTTCAATACTATCCAGCAATGTTTGCACACCTGCTGCTCCTTTGCTACAACTTGCCCTCTAGACGTTGTTTCTTGAAAGTCCTCTCTTGGGGGAAAATAGGAGCTGGACCAGCCCAGGATCTTCCTCCCATGGCTTTGCCTTCAAAATAGGAGGGGTGGCATTGGGTCCTTCTAAAATATAGGCGAAGGAAAAGGTAAGGCGCCCGGTTGCGTAAGGTTGTATCTCTCTCTATTGATCTACCTGTTACTTCTTGTCCTGCCCTCTGGTGCTTTGGAGAAGAAGGTTGACCCCTTCTTCTCACTCACTCACTCAATCAGAATAGAATTGGAAGGGACCTTTGAGGTCTTCTAGTCCAACCCCCTGCTCAAGCAGGAGACCCTATTCCATTTGAGACAAGTGACCGTCCAGTTTCTTAAAAACATCCGGGGATGAAGCAACCACAATGTCCGAAGGCAAGCTCTTCCACTGGACAAGTGTTCTTCCTGTTTAAAATCTTTCTCCGTAATTCCAGGTTGCTTCTCTCCTTGATAAGTTTCCATCCATTGTTTCTTGTCTTGCCTTCTGGTGCTTTGGAAAATAAGTTGACCCCCTCCTCCTCTTTGTGGCAGCCCCTCAAATACTGGAAGACGTCTATCATGTCCCCCTTAGTCCTTCTCTTCTCTTGACTGGCCAAACCCAAATCCTGTAACCGTTCTTCATATGTTGTAGCCTCCAGGCCTTTAATCATCCTAGTTGCTCTTCTCTGCACTTTCCCCAAAGTCTCAACATCTTTTTTGTTTGTGGCAGCCCTTCAAGGATTGGAAGATGCTGTCGGGTCACCCCTAATCCTTCTCTTCGTTAGATTAGACGTACCTAGTTCCCACAACCATTATTGCAGTTTTGTTTCCAGACTCTGCACGTTCTAAGAATCTCAACATCTTATTTTTGTATTGCCAGAACTGGATGCCACATTCCAAGCGTGGCCTTACCAAGGCATTATAAAGTGGTAGTAACACTTTTTTTAATAGATAGATAGATAGATGATAGATAGATAGATAGATGATAGATAGATAAGATAGATGATAGATAGAAAGATAGACAGATAGATATATGATAGATAAATAGATAGATGATAGATAGATAGATAGATAGAAAGATAGATAGATAGATAGATAGATAGATAGATAGATAGATAGATAGATAGATAG